TTCTCTAATATAGCATTTTCACCTGTTTCACCCTCCTCAGATATATTTGGTACTGCAAGGTTGTGGTACTATAGGTTGTCACTTGCAGAAGAAAGAACACTTGTTTGTTGGTTCTGTGTGAATATTATAAAGGGAGGATCCTGCACTAAATGCATTTCAGCTTTTCAATTAATGATCTTTACTATTAGAAAAGACATGCTTTGTAAAGCCCTTGAAATAATTTGGTTGGAAGGAGTATATGGGTGTAAGGTATTGTCACAAGCAACTACTACTAATGGAATTTCATAAATTCCCAATGGGACTCAAGTGTTTATCACTACCTTGCTAAGGTTAGGATGATGGTGTTCCTAACTCCCTGTTCCTGGACTTGGTCAATTAATAGTGTGTCTTAGCTGACTGTACAGACCTGACAGTGAAAACCCTATGAATAAAGGAGTTCTAAAAGATAAAAGGGGTGTGTGATCTGTCCATTTGTAAGTTTAATAATCTTAAAGTTTTTTCTGCCTTGTATCATACTTAGTATTTTTGGCTAGGAAATTATGGTAAAAACAGAAAGATGTATCAAGGGTATGTTTGGGAAGCACCATTTTCTATAGTGAGTTTTGGGTGTTGCCCTGTGGGGTCAGGCCAGCTCTCAGGATCTCAATATTGCGCTGTTAGACAGGAGGGTGTGACACAATTGCACATATACAAACACACAAATCAATTAGGTGCATACACACACACTACCAGCTCAGGCACACCGTTGTCCAGCTATATAGAAAGGAGGTGTGTCATCTTCAGCTGGTTTGAAGTTAAAACAAAACTTAGGCAGTTAAAAGATATTTAAAGAGAAAAACCTTTGGGGGTGGAAGAGAGAGAAAATAACATAAAGAGGTTGATTTGAACAGTTACAATGGTATAGTTGTCTCTTTGCTTATTAAAATATGACTTTGAATGCAGTTTTTACATACATCTTGTTATACTGATATTCTAAATAGCATTTATATCCTTAAGAGAAGTATAAACAAACAAACCAAAAACAAAAATTTTGACATCTTATCAGTTTAGAGAAGGGGGGGAACAAACAAACAACCCCCCCCAACCAAAATACACATAACCTTTAATAAATATCATTTTGCTAACCAAATGGAATCTAAAACTTTTTTTTCCTGAGAATTGTTGCCCTTGTTTCAAATATCAGAACAACTTTGCAATCCAGCTGGACGGAAGTGTTCTAGTCTGGGATCCACAGACGGATTCAATTTTTAGAGGGGGTATTACCAATGACGACTTATGAATATCATAAAGATATAATAAGTATTTAAACTGTGACAACTTAAAACAAACTAAACAAACAAACGCAAAACATATAACAAGACAACACAAACAAGACACTTTTTTTTTTTTGCCATGGCTGTGATGAGGAAGATGCTGCTGGTGGTAATGAGGCCTCATGGTTTATTGATCACCTTTGATTACACTGTGGTTTCTGCAAAAGAAAACAAACACAGCTCAGAGCTGTTCCTTCCTGCTAGCCAAGAAGAGTGGTGGGCAGGACAGAAAAGACTGTTCACCCTATTCTTTGAGGGTCAGGTGATTTATTTAACAAGGGGGCTCCCAAAATTAATTGCTCAGTGGAGCCCTCCTGAAAAACTCATCTTTAAAGTGACAACCTGGGCCAACTGCAACAAGGGCATTGGCATCCCTCAGAGGGACACTTTCTCCCTCAGAATTTTTGCTTAGAAAGCTTTTTCCATGTTCTTACATCTCACCCCCATTACCAATAAAGGTATACTTTTACACTTCTAGGAGTGTAACACAGGCACAAAGCAAACACACAACACTGTTTTGCACAAACACCTCAATGATCCCTGCAATCTCTTGGCTTTACTTGTGTTACAAACATTAACAGTCTCTAGCACAGAACTTAGTCTTCTCTGCTACTGACTTCTTATTGGACCAGTGATATAGGGTGTTGTACGTAACCCAAACAGACCACAGCATGACCTCAAGCACCCTGAGATCAGGACACAACTTTTCCTTAAAGCAACTGCATCTTTTCCCTGCTCTAGAGTAGTCATTCCTAAAATTGCATTCTTACTCTTTCCTCCTACCTGCTCTAGCATTCAGACTCTGTTAATCTCTTATTCTCTCCTCTCTTTCTAAATACTTTCCACATCTCTCTGTATCACAGCTGCCTCACAGCCTGTTTTCCCACTTCCCTCTATCTTTTTCCTTTCCTTCTCTCTATCACAGCTCCTTGCTTTCTGAATCTTTGTGTAAGGAAACAAACCCTGAATGAGTGAACCATGCATCTTTCCTAGTGACATTTTCTTTAACTCCCTTGCATAGGGCTGTAACAATACAGGCACAAGCTGTGGGGTGGGGGGGCAGTTTCAATCATAATGGTTTTCAACCTGCCCAGACCCAGCACTTTTCAAGAACTGGATCTCCCTTATGTCCCAAATCTGGCACAAAAGGGGGAAGTCAGAGAACCAGGTTGCTACCCTTTCTACTCGGGTCTAAATACTAGACTATACTAACTCTTCATAGTAAACAAAACCCAGTGTCATGCACCAAACAGTAGCTTACAGCCAGCAATAAACTCAAAATTTCAGACACGTCAAAGCTCAAGACACAAAATCTCAAAAGCCTCAAAACAAAACAATCTTACAAACATTTCTGCTGGAGAGGTCCTGTCTCCTCTTTTTTCACCCCCTTAGCTGTATGATCACTTATGCCTGGTGTGGGGGTCTTCTGCCTGAACATACTGGTTCCTGGACTTCTGTGCCCCACAACAACAACAAACACAATGATAACAACAAAGAAAGTGCTGTGGGTGCCCGAGCCCCTGTCCTGCAGGAGTTCCCCTTAACAATGCTGACCCTACACTGGGTATACCTTCCCTGCTCTGGGGCAAGTTCTATAATCACAACAACAGTAACGGTGTAGGTGTCCATACAGTAACAGCAGTGCTTCAAATACAACACAAACAGACATCGAATACACAAGCACACTAGCTCACCCAACCCACGCTTCTCACTCCTGCTAACACCCACAATATGCCTGCATTCTCCACCATAAAATGTTGCCCTGTGGGGTCAGGCCAACTCTCAGGATCTCAATATTGCACTGTTAGACAGGAGGGTGTGACACAATTGCACATATACAAACACACAAATCAATTAGACACACATACACACACACACACACACAAAACCAGCTCATGCACATACACATCCAAACCAGCCTAGGCACATGCATACCTATCACCAATTCAAGCACATACACTATACACCCCAAAAGTTAAACACAGATCACTAATTCATATATCATACACACAATGACGTGTATATACACACACACACACACCAGTTCACACACATACAACCCACCTACACTTACACACAGGTGAGTTCCTAACTTGGATGGTACAGTGTGTATGTGTGTGCTTGGGGTACCTGGGATACTTGGGGGAAGGTTAAGGTGAGAGAGAGAGAGTTAAGTGTAGGGAATGAAAGCTGCCAGAACTGGGATTAGAAGTGGTGGACTACAGAGAAGCTGGCTGAGGAACTAAGGTTTAGGGTTTACTTAAGGTAGACTGGGGCTGGAAACTGAGGCAGACAGATGAGAGTTGGGGGAGGGGGGCAAATAAGTGGTGGCAAGGAGGAGACAGCCAGGAAAGAAACTGAGGCAGAAACCTGGTTGCTCAGGGGAAAAGGCAGTGGGGATAAGACAGTA